TTAAGCTATAGAACTTGAAGATACTATTATTACCCTTTAATTACCCAATAATACTAGAAGAGGTATTCCAAGATTTTGTGCTTGAGCGCTAGTACTCGGTCAAAGTTACTATAGTATAGAGAATATAGATATATTATACTCAGGGAATTGCACTTCTGGGCTTGCAATAGAAAAGGATAACCTCTCTGCCTCTAATAGTTCTAATATATTATACTAGGAAGGAACTAGTTATATGGTAGAAAAGAATAGTCTTTCTGCTTCTGAAAATGTAGACTAATTTTGCTAGGAAGATTATACCGCTAATTACGTAATAGAAAGAAGCAATATCTCTTCCTCTAAAAGTTCTAATACATTATACTAGGTAGAGTAGAGAATAGGTTATACTATAGAGAATAAGAACTGGTCTCCCTCTGAGAGTTCGGATGCATCATGCCAAGAGGACTATATAGCGGGCTATTCAAATAACAACCTTTCTCTATTTGAAAAATCGAATAATATTAATTCCTGAGTCTCGTTTGCAGGTGAAAAAGTTAGTAGGTCCCGCCGTGAAATAGTTAGAAGAATCTGCGTTCTAGATTCTGAAGAGCGTAGGAAAAGAGTCTAAAGGAGCTTGCGACTCTCTGAGCTTGAAATAGCATATCTTCCCCCAGGGCGGTGCCACCCATTACAGAAATAGAGACCTGCTAGCTCCTCTGCTTCGCTGCCGTATATTCGACTACGATCAATTAATTAAAGCAGAAATGCTTTTCTCTCCCGATCTGCCGTAATAATATTTCTTCCACAATATCAATCCTTTTCTTTGAGCCACGCAGAACACTTAGAGGTATTCTCATTGACCTCTTTGAAGAGGATAGTAGATTTGCCGACCGACATGGTGACACGAGTTGAGCGTAGAGAAATCGAGTGAGAAGCTAGGTATAAAAAAGTTGAGTGAGAGTGAAGGTGAGCAGGCGGGCATAGACCCCTTTATATATTTGCTGCTGTGGAGGAATTTGTGGGACGAGGCAGTGCAATAGTGGAGTGGTCATATGGCCTTCTTCCGGCGAAATATGCAGGCCACTATGCTGAGTAGGCGGAATGAAGGGGCTAAAGGCTGTCACTGTCTCCGAATCAATGACAACGGCGCCAAAAGAAAAGGAGAATAGTGTCAGGAGCTGACGACGGCGACCAGGGGGTTTGAGGGACCACGGTTGGCTCGAGGTATGGAACACCTCCCGAATTCCTCAAAAAAGGTTTTGGCAGGTAAGATGTGGTGCTCTTTTATGGCTTGCCTGGGACGATATCCATACTCAAATCCTCTAATGGACTATGCAACTTTGGGAATGTGGTCATACGGCCGTTCTTTCGGCGAAACGTGGTCTTAAGCGCTGAGTTTTCGGAAATAGGGGGGCTGATGGGTCTACGGAAAGGTCAACTTCCAATTCTGGTTTACTTTGCGGCTGTCAAACGTTGATCCTATGCCCAAACACCAATAGGATTCTAGCAATGACATTGATGAACGCTGGCTTGTGACTTGGTTGCACTACCACAGTAATAGTGTGCATGACTAGCATGTGTATTCGTATATGCAGTTGATGATATCGAACGGTGATTCTAATTCGTAGGCAGTGCTTTGCATCCTGTAGCAAGAACAGGATTACTTCCTTAACATTAGGGTTTTGTTCAAGCCAAACTCAACCGTACCAAAATCATATGATTTGTCTCAGTTTGTGCCGAAGGCTGAATGCGAAATCATAGCTCCTTACTGAAGAAGAGTAGATAAAAGTCATATGCAAGCTGTTATTAAGTATTGGCATGCGAAACTGATAGTGTTCTAGAAACAATCAAGACCACCAGAACCTCTGAACTTATTCTGAGGGTTCCTATTCATTAGTAACCTTCTTATCTTGAGCTCCCCATACCAGCTAATATGACTTTAGCACGACTAATTCATCCTTTCTTTTCATAATCGTCTTCCGTTCTACTATATTCTCTTTAAGAAGTCTCATGCCCTTTTTAATATTCGCTTTGAGTTCTTCTTATATCCCAATAAGTATTATATTAATTCTTCGTACTGACTCGTTTATCTATAATATCTTATCGTCGAGGTGCTATTGAGGCGAAGTCTTCCGCTGCTATTATAGCGAAGTCTTCTGTTACTATCGAGGCGAAGTCTTCCGCTGCTTTCGTCCGTAGGTGGGTTTATTTTCCTTGATGGGTTTTGCCGCCATAGTAGCTAAACCTTAAAGATTACCAGGATAGATTAGATCTGATTTACTAGAATCTGAATCAGATACTGGATAATTTTGATTACTTATAGTATTATTAGACCACTTTCGTTTCTTGGTGCTTGACCCAGACATATTAGATAAGGAACTAGTACTATCCTCGAAGATATTAAAAGGAACTGGTTAATTAGAATCTGTACCTGTATATTAGATTATTTATAAATAATACAGACAGATACTTACCTCGGGGTAGCTCCGATCTAATTGTCTGCTCGCGCTTGACTATGCCATGTTTAGAATTGTAATGACCGGTGAGTTCAGAGGGCAGCTCTGATCTAGTACCTGTATCTGCCTCGTCATCTTCCGTTAGATCAATAACTGGGCGCTCTAATATAGATTTGGATGGATGCCATGCTACAAGAAGTAGAGAGGAAAGAGGATGTTAGTTAGCTAGAATTACACTGAGTTTAATACTATGATTACTGGTTGGTTTGCAGGATGGCTCTAATTCGGTAACGATTTCAGGCTAAGTATCCTCTATTAAATTAACTCCCATTACTGAAGCCTCCGCCTTATTATTGAGTAGCCGCTATATATCCGAGGAACTAATAGGTTCCCAGTTATTAGGGATAGCATTAAGTTTAGAACCGTAATTACTAATTAGCTATATAGTTAAGGATACTATAATTGGCTCTTCTTTCTCCCAGTTCTCCTTTCACTTTTCAAGTAACCGAGCCACTTGCTCCTTAAAGGAAAACTTCCTATTCCTCGGAATCTGGTCCAGATTTAGAATCTTTTCGAGAACCTTATAGATACGTATATTATCTGCAATAATCCGTAATAGGATTTCAAGTTACTCTAGTTTCTCTAGGTATAAGGATATATTTTTCATATTGCCTGTACTCGGCTAGTAACCTTCAGGTAAGAAACCTTTCTATAGCTTATATCGCAAAAATTTAAGTTGTTCCTCGAATATTGTTAGTCTTTTAATCCTAACTCTGATTCGGTTTCTCAATTATACCTCTCTTTCCTGCTCTGGTATAAGCAGCGGCTTTGATCCGTACTCGGTTCCTATAGTATTAGTTCCTGGAGATTTTTAGAGTAATGATTCCGAAGGTAGTAATATATTCGAGCCAACTGGGTTAGGTGTAAAAGTATTATTATTAATAAGACAAGGTAAGGCATTTCTTACTAGCTAGGGGTTTTCAGCAGGAGTTTCCTGTACTTCTTCTGCCGGAGATCGGATTTCCAGGTATGGCTCGGGGCCCTACTATACGGTTTCCGAGCAGGAATTATCGAGAATGGAATATAACTCTCCGTTTAATAGCCGATTAATCTCTATATTTGGGTAATTATTATTGAATTTTAGGTCTGAGGTCTAAAATAAAGTTATGCTAATAGAAGACTCCTAATAAAGGGAAGAAAATTATTTGGTAGGAGAGAATATTAAAGTAAAGTAATACCTGGGAAGAAGCCAGCTTCTTATATTTCTCCTCGAGAGCCTAACCTACTATTAAATCCCACTTCTCGGTTATTCTCTATACTTCTGACTAAGGCAGTACCGCTTCTAATACATCTTATTAGTAATAGTTTATTAATAGCAAGGCATATTACTAAAAGTATCTCGGGATTATCAAGTTCTAGTATAAATCGAGACAATGTCTTTAGTAGGTCAGCTAAGTATTGGCCGTATAATCCTTTATTACGGCGGCTTTAACGAAGTCCCGATTAGAAATAGTAGCTACTTTACTCTTACAGGTACGGGAAGGGTCTGCTGCCGACAACCCCTTTCTACGAGAGTTACCCTAATAGAGTAATAATATATTTAACTCTTTTTATTATTAATTATTATTGAATATTAACCTAATAGTAGTCCTGAAAGCTTCTTTCCCGTACGAGCCCTATTAATCGTGAAGTCTATAGGAAGTCTATACATGGGATCTTGACTCAATATGGCACTTTAACAGGTATAACCCTTTGCGGTTTGGAATACGAGAGATATTTTAGGATATTTATCCTATAGCTGTAAAGTGGTAACTATTCCGACTTTACGATTCGTAAATCTACTTTCTCGGAGGCAGTATAGTAGATGCTTTGCTTTCCTGCAGAGCTGAAAATGGATAACGACTGTTATTACCTTATCTGCTCTGGGGATAGCTCTCATTCCAATGCAGAAGTCGGCCCTTCTCAATGTTATTCTCCCTTTAAGCAGACTAATTACGGAGAGCTCTCCTGGATCCGTATGCTAGTAGCCATTCATAGTATAAAGGTGTACTCCCTCCTCATCTATCTTTATCTGTTCTTTATTCCACTTATATACTTCTGACCCAACTTGATCTATCCTCTCACGCCACTACTACCTCTTTATACATCAAAAACCTATATAGGAGCAAGATGTCAGCCCTATCGCAATACTTGACCATTTTTGGTGTATATAATGCTCAATACCTTACCTCCAAATTCTAACCTCACCTGCCCATTTCCCGACCTTATAGTAAAGGAGATTCAATGGATGGCAGAGACGCAGCTATCTATAACTAAGGATACCATGGAGAGTAAGAATCTCGGCTCCAGATTCTCTGTCGTGCGGCAATAGAGCTCAGCTCTAAGCAAAATTTGAATTATAGTTTGGAAAGTTTTGTGGGTTATAGGACAAAAAATGTTTTGTCACCAGAATACATTAACCAGCCTACCGCCAAGATTAGTCAGTAGACTGGCCCGTATGCCGTCGCCAAGCTTTCTGAAACCCTTGAAGAGACGAAAATTTCCATTCGAGGTAGAACTGGCGTCGAGATGCTTGTCGGATATCCGGAAGGGTCACACTTGACGGCCCCGCCACTCGTATTAGAATCTCGGCCACAAGTTTTGGGTACCCATGCCCTCAGGACGAGATCGGATTCAAGTAGCTCGGCTATAGCTCCCAGGATGTCAATGGGAAAAGCCCTTGACGCCCCTGGGAATGCCAGGCCTAGTAAGCGTCTGTGGTAGGGCTCCTATCGAATCGATTCGATCGAATATTCGATAATTCGATCGAATATTCGATCTAATCGAACTCCCGTGACTAAAAATCACGTGTTAGGGCATAGAATAGGGGACTTATACCTAAAGTAGTAATAGAAGCGAATTTACTAAAAGAATTAGCTATATACTAAATCAAAACTCTTAATTTCCTAATTCTCTCTGCTACCAAGACCACTAATTCAGGCCTAATTACGGCCTAACCAGTGCATGCAAGTACCCTGATTCGCCCCTGATTCGCCCCTATAATGAAGATATATATACTAATTAATAATAGAATAGTACTAACCCCCCTGAAATCCTCCCAATTGCAGGAGACCACGTCCACACCTCAGCGTTCTCGTCGAATTACAAGAGAAGAAGATGAAGATATAATTACTGTTAATACCCCTCCATAATCCTCAAGAATTACGAATACCTCCCTAGATACTCCGAATATACTAATTACTCGCAAGCGTAAGGTCGACTACGCTAACCTCTATAACTTTGGGTTTTAGGGCTGTCCTCTACCCTTACTAAAGCCTCTAGCTAAGAGAGCACGTGTTTCCAATACAAGAGCCTCTCAAGAAGCCTCCCAAGCTACTATAATTCCTGAGGAAAGCGAGAATGAAGAGGATAATAAAGATATACTTGAGGAGAAGAAGCAGAAGTAAGTAAATGCCTCTGGCAAGCGTACTTGGTAGTGGAAATACTATATAAGCAAGACACTTACTACTAAGTATAATAAGGGCAAGGGAAAGATAAAGGAGAGGGTTTTTGACGAGAAATATACCTGTAATATCTGTAAGAACTTTGATTAACTAGCGTTAAAGCTTAAGGGATTAATTACTGCTTTATCTAATCATATTCAAGTCGACCATAAGCGCTCCGATTTCTCTGGATCTATGGCCTCTGGATCTATGGAAAGGGTATAATCTGGCCTTAATAAGTTTATAAAATTAAAGGAGGATATACCTGATTTTGAAGATATAATAGTTAATTGGATTATTAATACTTATTAGCTATTTATAACCTTAGAAAAGCCGAAGTTTAAGCTTATGATTTGCTCTACCGGATATACTGGACAGATTATTAGAGGGGATATAATTGCTAAGCGTATTCTTAGTAGAGTTAAGGTTTCTGAGAGTAATTTAGTAGCTCTATTAAATACTACTTGTAATATAATTACTATATTATTTAATAGTTAGACAAGTATAAATAATCTCTCGATATTTGCTATGAATGGGAAGTAGGCAGGCCTAGATATGAAGATATATTAAGCTTGTTTAGACTTTATTAAGATTAAGGGTACTTATTCCGGTAAAAACCTTACTCAAATTATCTATAAAAGAGGCAAAAAACTCGGTATACTTCACAAGATTATAAGCCTTACTAGAGATAATGCTAAGAATAATAATACTTGCGCTTAGTATCTTTATAAAATAATGGGATATATATATAACGAATACCTTAATCTAATACCTGTTTATAATAAATTAATAAGATTTAAGGGAGAAGCGAGCAAGATTAACTGCTTAGCTCATGTGAATAACCTTATTATAAAGGTGATTTTAAAGTCCTTAGGCTCAAGTACTCATAAAGACGCTATAGTATTCCTCGATCGAGTTAGTAATAATGGTTGGAATAAGGTCACTTTACCTATAGTATTAGGAGATATTACTATACTACGTATTATAGTTCTTTGAATAAACCGCTCTCTATAGCGAATTCAAGAGTGGCTTGCTTAAGAAGGGGTTACTTCTATAATTTCATATGATATTAATATGAGATGGAATTATACTCTCGTAATACTAGAGGCAGCTCTCTTAAATCGGGCAGCTTTGAAGGCATTTATTAAGAACTATCCAGAAATCGCATATCTCTCTTTTGAGAACGAGTAATAGAAAAGACTCAAGCAGATTAGAGACCTTCTGAAGCCATTTGAGGAGTATATGCTATTTGTCTCCCGGGAAGAGCCTATATTATACCGTCTTCCGAACCTATATCTTTAGCTTGAGAAGCTCCTGTAGTCGATTATAAAGAAAGAAGGAGTATATGCTATATTCGATTCTTCTCTTCTTGAGGCTACTCAAAAAGGACTTAATAAGTTTAATTAGTACTATGCGGAGATAAAGAAGAATGATATATACTGGATTGCTTATTGTCTTAATCCGAGAATTAAGGCTAAGTGGTTAATTAAAAATTACTCTAATTACGAAGTAATTCTTAATCGTGTTAAGAGCTTCCTAAAGGAGGCCTATTTATCTGAAGAAGAACTACTAGTAAGATCTCGTAATCTAGTTTAGAAGATAAAGATAAGCTTGGAGCTAGAGTTCTTGTAAGAGTATGGCTCTATAATTATAGCTAATAATAATATTAAGCGATACTTTAATATTCTAAGTATTAATTTCGTATTAAATAAGAAGGAGAATCAGACTAAGTAGATATTAAATTAGTGGAAGGTCTATAAGTAAGAATACTTCCTTATATTTCAGGTTGCACGTGATTACCTTCCTATTCCGGGAGTAGAGGTTGATATTGAGTGATTATTTAATATTGCAAGAGAGATATTAGGGTTGAGACGTGCTTTAATATCTGCAGAGACTTTGAGGGTATTAGTCTTATTAAAGGACTATATCTGTCGTGAAGTAGCTGGATAAGTTTAGGTGGCTATAAAAATCACGTGTGTACTATAGATTATATCTAAATAGCCTTAATATTAATATAAATAAATATTATTAAAAAAAGGTTCTAGTTTATATGCGAATTCCTGATTTTGAGGGAAAATCACATGGAAAATTCAATCGAACTATCGAATATTCGATCGAATCCTGTAAAAAAATTCGATTCTAATCGAATCGAACTTTACGTAATCCGATTCGACCGAATTCGATCGAATTTCGATCGAATCGAACTAATTCGATAATTCGATAGGAGCCCTAGTCTGTGGGAACAGGAATCAAATCTCGCACCTCAAGAAAACCAAACCAAAAGTGAGTAGTATATCCGCTGTGCCTTATTTTTGCTGACATATTCAAGACTCTGATCATGGTCGGTGTTTAAAGAAAGCTAAAGTGGACAAATTTCTTTTACGAATCCATGCTGCAATGGGACTAGTGGATAAATTGGCTTGTGAGCCAGAAAACTTGGATGAAATTGCGGCTGGAAATCTCGTGGACCTTCTCAAGGATTCACAAGAGATTTTAGAGAGTGTGAAGGACGATATGATAGAAGAATATAGAACAGATAGGGAGCGCTTAGAATAGATATATTTTGACGTATGTCCCGTATTTACTACATCTATAATTAGGGGACGAATTACTGGCGTCAATCAGTAATGCCCTATACGTATCCTAGCCTTGACAAGTCTATATATTCACTTTCAAGATGAGCGAACAGACATATATAGCTTCCGAGGTGCCTCTAGGGCCTATGGTCCCCCCCGAAGACCTGCTTGCGTGAGAGAAATGGCCACTCTAAGCCTAAAGACGCCCAATATGAAATCGTTAGCTGTATTTCAGACACCCTTTCGACCCTGTCGGTGCTTGGGCATCAATAACAAGATACAAAGAGCAGAAGAATAAGTCAAGAGTTAGCCCTAACCCTAAGTCACAAATACAGTAATGAAAGACCAGCTGGCGACCAATTGTGGCACCTGAGTGAAGACTTGTCCGTTTGGTATTTCCTGTGTAAATAAGTACAGAATGCGAACCCAAGCCGGCTTTATCGAGAAGTCAGGTCCGTCCCAAATGCCACAACCTTCCCTCTTCTGAGATAGCAGCCCATTATCAGTAATGTCGGTCGTCGAGGAAGCTTCGATGACGGAACGTCGATTTAGCGGGCGATCCGACGATACTTTTTTGGTCGTGTCTTCCTCCTTTCAAATTCCAAGTATTGTCCCCAGAATTGTTCCAGGAATAGTGCTACTGATTTGATGGGAGTAGACGAGTCCCCAAATTGACTCATTAATTGACGACTTTCATAATCGACTGTGTTCTTGAGTATTTGCAAAATATCTTCTGGCCTCTCAGAGAGAAGCTTTAGAGACACTGTGGCGAGTCCTACGAATTGGAGAACATCACGATCGGGACAGAAGTAGATCTTTCTCCCACTCATGACGAGCTGCTGGTAGATCCGTAGGGCTGCTCGGCGAGATTCTTGGGTAGTTCTTAATGCTGTTATAGGATCGTTATCCTTGTAGGAAAATGTGATGTTGAGGACCTTTGAAGATTCGATATCGCGGTAGGTTAAAGGGCAATCTTCATCTATGAGTGGAAGCACTTGAATCATGCAGGCTTTAGGGAAGGAGAATGTCCAGATCTTGTCTCGGATTTCGAGAGGGAGGCTTGGGAAAAGGTGAAAATCCTGAGGTCCTTGAGATCTATAAGATTAATAACGAGGGGCCTCGATATAGGGCCGATGCCGATCAAGGCGTCCCTTCTCATAGTAGAGAATAAATTGGCAAAAATCGGCCATCTCTCCGTAAGTGCTTATATTTGGCGGTGACTTGAAACTAGGTAAGACTACTATTAGCATAAGGAGAAAGCAGTAGGGGAGGTGATAGGGTAATGAGAAGCTAGTCCAACCTAATATGAGCGACAAATTGGGATGAGATCGAAGGAAGGATGATACTTGAGTTGAGGAAGACGAGCGTTTGGAGAATAAAAAGAGTTGTGGGAGGTCGATATACGGGCGGCCGCGTTTTATAGGGGTTAAGCGGCCGCTAGAGCCATACTAGGGCCTAGGTCACGCAAGCATAGCCTTAACGACTAGCCTTAATGCAACTCTGATCTGGCACATCGGTGGCAAAGTGGTATAATCAAGCAAAGAAAGCAGGGAGACCAAATAGTGGTATATTTGACTAAGGAGCTAAATATAGTCTCAAGATGTTTTATCCTGCTTCGCTTATATCACGTCCGTCGACCCACAATATGCTTTAAAATTAACTGGCAGGTTAATTTTTACTGGGCGAATTTGTATTACCTAATCTATCGGGAGTATTATAAAGTATCTAAATAACGGCCTCTAAGGTCTATACTATTAATTTTGCTTTCTAAAGCTCCTGGGATAAGGCAAGGTTCGAGTTCGATAGAAGCTCGCAATAATATCTCATCTAGCTATAGTTATATACGTATTACACTAATGCTTCGGTATACTTATTAACCTGGGATTAAAGCCGCCGATTTCTTTAAATCTCTCGTGTGACCTTAGTATGTTTAATTAATAATTCTTGCTCGGTATTCTGGGTATAATACTATAAGTCATATATATTGGTAATACTAATACTATGTATTATAGGGATATATGGGACTTCTTTAAGGTTATTATTAGATAGGTATTCCTCCTAATATATAGTTAGAATTATACCTTACTAATAGTAGTAAAGTACTTACTAATGCCATATTATATTTAATATAATATCTTTTAATATCTTGTCTTAAGGTAAGATAAACTTTATATTTTGGCCTTTCGAGTCTTATATACCTAATTATATATTATTATATAGGTTATTAAGGTAAAGGTTTTAAGACATTATATAGTATAAGGGTAATATTATTAGGAATATATTACTATTCCGAAAATTAATTATAATTACCCTAAGTCTATTAATGATCTATACTAAGCCAAATTACCCTTAAATAGATAAGGGCTTAGTAACTTAGTAACTATCTTAACCCGAATACTTAAAGGCTATAAAACATAAACCTATTTAAAGTTCTAATTATTAAATATTAAATGTTTAAAGGCTACTAGAACTATAAAGATAGTACTAGAGGTACGAACTAATTATTTTTTATAGTAACCTAATCTAATAAGTATAGAAATGTGTCTTATTATCTGGGTTAATAAAGACGTCTTTATAGGAGAGAAAAAAAGAATTAATAAAGAGAAATCGAGATTTCATTATACTATTTACTAACTGGTTTCTAAGTTCGTTCTGGGGCAAGAAGTATTACCGGGGCAGGAAATATTACCTCCTTTATATAAAAAAGAAGCCTCTGTCTAGTAAGGCCCTTAAAAAGTAATTTTTAAGAGACCCGACTCTCTTACTTTTCCTATATATACAGGCTATTATAAGCCTATAGGCACTCAGATTTTAGAGGAGGTTACTAGTTCAGAGAAATAATTAGGGAAAGGTAATAATAATGGATTTAGGGAATTACAAGAAATATGAGTTTCCTATATATAAATCACCTAAGAATATATTACTAATTATAAGAGAATATATCTAAAGTTAATCTTTAAATAAATTAGTTTTTGCAAGAGTATGAGATAGTTAGTAAAAGTATTTCATGAATAGGATATAGTATATTTATAATAATAAGCTAATATATAGATGTCTTATATACTAAAATAGCTAAAATAGCTAGATAGTATTACTAAATAATTCTAACTACTTTCTATTATTCGTCTATTCTAGTAATATACTTTATAAATCCTCTAACTATAAGCATATAGTCTTTTGCCCTGGCCTAGTACTAATACTATAATAATTTCCAATTCTCCTTATTATTTAGTTATTTCTTTATAGGTTTTTTATTTGAAAAATATTTATAATACTATCTTACTATTATATTACCTGCCTTTCTTTCTACCTAAGTCGTGTACTTAGTTTCGGAGGCCTCTTATAAAGATTTAAGCTTTAGCTTATACTTTTCCTCTTTTTTCTTATTTATATTTTTTTCTTTCTTTATATTTTCTCTCGCTTCTTTCTTTCTTTTCTTTTTTTATATTACCTTTAGTACTAGTGTCTTTTTATTATCCTTATTCTTTGCCTTTATCTTTACTTACTTATTTCGAAGTTTCGAACTATTCGAACCCTTATTTCGGAATAAGCATGTTTTATAAGTATTTATTATATCTAAATAGCTCAAAACATATTAGAATTTTCGCTATTAAGGAAGAAATAAAGAAAGATTAATAAATAATTATATAAAACATATTTTAATATAGAGGAAAATAATAAACGGGCCGACTTGAATATAAGTAAAAGAGATAATAAAAAAATATAGGAAGAAGTATAATAAGGTAGGCAGTTATAAATAACTCTATTATGTAATAATTCCGAGGTCACGTGCTACTTGCAAAATCTTTGCCATGTCCTAAGATTAGTCTTATTATTGAGATATGGCTAATAATAGTTAATATAAGTTATTTAATCTCTGGTTTCTATTACCTTGCTTAATTTTAGTTTACCCTAACTACTTTACTTAATTTTAATTATTTCCTTACTATCTTGCTTAATTTTAATTAATCTTTAAATTAACTATTTCTTAACTATTACCTTATTACCTTATTATCTTATCTAATTACTATATAAATTACTATTATAATATAACTCTTAGGATCCGGCTATCTTGTTTTACCTTATATATTACTTATATAGGTTAAGTAACTTTATATATATCTAATAATTCTCTAGATACTCGAAGTTACTAGTAAATATTATAATTATTTTCGTATTTAAATAGTTCTTAAAAAAAGGGCTAATTTCTCTAACCAGGCCATATATTATAATAGTATATACTTACTAATATTAGCTTTATATAAATTAAGGCAAAATCGGTATTAGGCTATAATATATAAATTAACTCTATTATATCTCAATTTCTTTTTTATATCCTATAAAGCAATACCTATTCCTACTTTTCTTTATTAGTAAGTAGTTTAAAAGTAAAGTATTACAAGCTCTATTCCCTAGTAATACTATATTAAACTATTAAAAGTATAGTATTACAAATATTTGCGTCTATTTAATTATAAGAAATAATAACTATTTAATCCTTATTACGAATAGTAGCCCTAATTACGTATAAGTAAAACTAAGAAAAGGCAAAAATACATACTATGAGATATTTACTTATCTAGTAACCTGGCTAGTTAATGAGAATAGAGGACCCAAGTAATAGGAATTACTAGCTAATTATATTCTTACTAAACTACTTTTATTATTTATTAATATATTATATATCTTTATATAGGACTATGGCGGCCTTAATAAAGTAATAGAGATACTAGCCACGTGAATAGTAAGAGGTTTGGTATTAAGCCTGCCTAGAGCTATCTGGCCTTAGTTACTTATAATTACGAGTATACCTAGTAATACTTTTAATTCCGAAGCTCTTCGTTTTTATCTAAGAATACTCTCTAATCCAAAGTTCTTAGATTTATTTTCTTTTTTAAAAGTAATTAATTTTTTAGGTACTAGTTAAAAGCCTACTTGCTAGTATTTTAGTAATCTATTATAGGTTTTATAAAATAAGATATATCTAATACGCGCTAAGCGAGTTAATACCTATATACTATTCTCTATAATTTATATTACTATATTCTTTAATATAGTACTAAGTTAGTTTATTATATTACTATTATAAGTCTTTAATTTTATTTATTATATAAGAGAAAACTATCCCGTTTCTCCTAGTTTCTAGTATTATATAGCTATATTTATAAGCTTATATTCCGGGTATGGGTTTCCTAATAATATTTTCTAGGACTTTATTACCTTAGTAATTATTCTTAATAGTTTCCCTCCTAATATATATAATAAGTACTAATTTTACTAAGAAATACTCTAGCTATACTAACTAATTCAAGTATTTAATTCTTTAGAGATCTTCTATATATTATACTATTAATCCTATGCCCTTAGTATTTAAGACTATATAAACTCTTAATAGCTAAGTAATAACTTAATCTATATAAATATTAAGGCATAAATAATATCTATATTCTCTTATATAAAGTATAGTAATTAGTTAGCTACTAAACTTTATTAGCGAAGCCTAGAGCAAAATAACTAGTACTAGTTATTATTATGGTATACTATTCTCTATCTCGCCTATCTTTAGAGAAATCTAGAATATTCTCTAAAATATAGTTATATTATATATAATATCTATATATATATCTTTAGTATATTATTAAAAAAAATAAAGTATTATTATGACCTTATTATCTATTCTCTTTACTAGAAAGAGATTCGGTTCTAGGCAAGATTACTACTACTAACTTATTAGGTAAGATTAGTAGTATTTAATAAAAGTAGTTCAAGAAATATTATTTTATTAGGATTTATAAAAGAATTATATTAGGCGCTTGATTTCCCCTATCCTATATAGGAGTACTTTAATTATATTATTAGGACGAGCTTAGATAAGAAGCTACTTTAAACTTTAGTACTAGGATACTAACTACTTATAAGAGATATTATAATTATTGGGCTTTTTACTAAGTACTAGAATCTAAAGTAATATCTCAATTTCTTTTATAGATTTATAAGAATTATCTTCTTATTAAAGTATAATATTAGATATTTAATATATATAATATTCCGGTATATTTTCGCTTTTTATTTTATAGATAATAAGTATAATATTACTATTTTAGAAGAAGCTTTAAAGGAGGTATTTAAATTAGGCCTTATTTTTAATTCTCTAAAATTATAGCTATTAGAAATAAAATTCGCAATTATGGCTATTATAATATTAGATATTATATTATATTTAATCTCGAATTATAATAGTAAAGGAATTTCTAGTAAAAATTCAAGTAAATTAAAACCTTTCCCGTTTTACTAATATTAATATATTAGGGTATAAATATCTTTATACTAAGAAAATAATAAATAAGATATTACTTTAGAAA